GATCAGGTGCTCCTCAGTCAACTTTTTGGACAATACCAAGTTGGGCAGGAGTGCTGATCTGCTGGAGGGCAGGAAAATTCTGGAGAGGGATTTGGGCAGACTGAATTGATGGGCTGAGGCCAATTGTATGAGGTTCAATGAGGCCAGGTGACAGGTCCTGCACCTGGGTCACAACAACCCCATGCAGTGCTACAGGCTGTTGGAAGAATGGCTGGAAAACTGACTGGCACTAAAGTACATGGGGATGTTGGTTGACAGACAGCTGAAAGTAAGCCAGCAGTGTGCCCAGCTGGCCAAGAGGGCTGATGGTGTCCTGACCTGCATCGGCAATAGTGTGGCCAGCAGGACTAGGAAAGAGATTGTCCCTCTCTTCTCAGCATTGCTGAGGCCATACCTTGAAACCTCTGTTCAGTTCTGGGCCCCTCACTTCAAAAAAGTCATTGAGGTACTGGAGTGCATCCAGAGAAGAGTGACAGAGCTGGTGAAGGGTCGGGACCACAAACCTTACGAGGAGTGGCTGGGGTTTTTTAACCTGGAGAAGAGGAGGCTCAAGGTAGGACCTTATTGCTCTCTACAACTACCTAAAAGGAGGTTGCAGTGAGGTGGGTGTTGGTCTCTTCTCCCAGTCATCAAGCAATAGGACAGGAGGGAATGGATTCAAGCTGTTTAGGGGAGGCTTCAATTGGATATTGTGAAAAATTTCTTCACCAAAAGGGTGGTCAAGCCCTGGAGCTAACTGCCCAGGGAAATGGTTGAGTTGCCAGCTCTGAAGGTATTTAAAGGATTTTCAAATGTGTAGGGATACAGTTTAGTGCTTAGGCTTGGCAGTGCTATATTAGTAGTCGGACTCGATAATCTTAAAGGTCCTTCCCAACCTATATAATTCTGTGATTGTGTGGGAGATGCATCCAAAAAATGTGTGTGCAACTGCTGCAAGATAATTCCTTTATTTATAGAGTGATTCCAATGCTCCTTTGTAGAGGTTTCTATGCTCTGTGGGGAGCATGCATACAACCAACACAACAAAATGGAAGTCAGATCATGCTCCCTGATCTGGGACAAGTAGATCTGCACACCAGAACTGCTCAGGGTGGTATTTAAGTGTGGTGGTCTTAAAATATATGTCCCTGAGGTCAGAACCAAGGGATTCTTGAACAGTAGTCCTGCTGATAAGGCTTTATGATTTTAGCAAAATCATTTTCTTCCTAGACATCAGTTGTGTTGTCTGATGTCTCTGGGTTATCACAAGGGAAATTGTGAAATTTTACAAAAATTTGGGCTCTTTAATCCAGCTAGCACTAGTTTATCTTTCAGAAGATATGTATAAACAGAAGATAAATATGTGGACAACTGGCCTGGATTGCATTCTGTACCTGAATTTCACCATATGGAAAGTGGAGAAAATGACACTGACTATCTTCCTAAAGCAGTTACAAGATCTGTTATCAAAATTGCAAGAATAACAGGAAGATCATTAATGACAGTTGAAGCAGAATTTTAGGTAGGAAATGATGTGATGATCCAGGCCACCACTATTGCTTTATAAACTCATTTTACACGTGTGATTTGTTTTGAGAACCAAAATAAAGTGGGAAAGGAGTTTGCAACAAAGACAAAGGCTGGTGTGAATACAATTTCTAGGAAAGCTGATTCAAGAAGTAGAAGGGAAGCTTCAGACTCTGGGAAAAGGAGATCAGGAAAAAAATCTGCAAGTAAACTATTGCTGCCTGAAAGTACCAGATTCTGTATATTCATTTTCATGTAGGATTGGACACCAATCTTTAACATAGAGGGTCCCTTTTCTCAGTCAGATTGCAGACTGGAGCCCCCTGGGCTGATGTGTTTCAAGCACCAGAACAAACTTTGGGAGAGCCTGGCAAAGGTTTATGTCTGCTGAGGGGTAGCAAGCCCCTTAAAGTGGATTTGGAGATGCAGCTCCTTCTCTATCCAGAGTAGCACTGGATAGATTTTTGTAAAAGGTTTTGGAGTCTGACTGTGCCAGACCCTTGTTTCTGATGATTATGTTTGTTTAAATTAGACCTCTGAGTTTGTAACAATGGAATTATCTATTTTTCAGGACAATTAACACAATGCTTTTGTATGAGCTGAAGGTCAGAGGATTAATGTGGTTTTATCTATAAAGCATTTTTAAAAGCTAATTAAGAATCATCCAGTTTGCTCTGTACTAAAGACTGAGGACATTTCATATTAGATGACTCTTGATCCTCTGCAGCAGTGGAGAGCGGGGGGGAAGAGAGAGAGAGAGAAATAGAGGGGGAGAGAATTGGAGAAAGAGTGAACTGGCATGCAAATAAATATATCACAGGGATGCAGTTAATGAAGTGCAATAAAAAAACCTCCGTTCTGGTAGCAGTAGAGATAAAATTGTCTCTTGGACCAAAGGACCAATCTAAAATATTAATCTGAAAATATACTCAGTATTTTCAATTACAAGCATTCCTTGTTAGACCAAGAAAGATGGAGAGGAATATAGAGAAGTGCTTCTCTCAGAACATTATTTTAGAGATGCTTTTATCACTTAGTGCTTTCAGAGCTTTCTCTCTCTCTCTCTTGAGCCTGACAACCTGTACATGCCACCATTCCTCCATAGGGAATGCCTGGTTAATGGGCCTCCAGCCAGACATGAGTCTTCTGGGAGAAAGTGTGCAAGGGTGTGGAGCAGCAGTGGGACTTGGGTGCCAGGAGGACCTTGGAGCAGAAGGAGCTGCCCACTGGTGTGGGGATGAGTGTGGGTGGCAGTGAGAAGGCAGCTTGCCCTGAAAACACCTCGGTTTCATGGATTGCAAAGGTCAGGGGACGCAAAATGAGACACAAACCAGACACATTCAGAGGCAATGCAAGAGTTTGAAAACCAGGGTGAGGAGTTTATGCTCAATGCAATGGCCTCTGCCTAGCCTTTTAAAGGGAAAAGGCAAGAAAACTGGAAGGTGTTTTTTGCTTTTGGATGTTTATGTATTCTGCTGATTCAAATGTTCTGAGGTTGATTTTCTGTGTCCAAATTATGTAAAGATATCGAGGTGCCTCATTTCAAAACTGGGCTATGCACTACTATTCTGTTGATCAAATATGGCAATTATTTCAGGCTTAAAACATATTAGGGATAACAATGGGTGCTGCCAAAGGTAGAAAGTCCATATGCATTCAAAGAACAAGCTGAAAGAGGAATAACAGCAACACGTGCAGCTAGAATACATTATGAATTACCATCCTCTTACACAAAGGCTAGTAAACTCCAAAAATGCAGCAACTTACAGAGCTAATAAAAGGGACAGAAATGTGCAGATATCTTGGTTTGTCTAATTTGTGTCTTTCTAGCATTAGGCTACAAAGGATGACTCACTGGATTTAGCAACTGCTTGTGAAGATGAACATATTAATAACTTCATGCTGCAGCTCTGGCATAAAATGTAATCTTTTACATTTCTGTATTCTCAAGTGAAATACAAGCTTAGGACCAGAATAAAATTACAAAAGATATTTGAATTGTTAGCTTATGTTCTTTTTAAACCTGTGTTTATACATTAAAATATGTAACTTAACTAGTAAAAGAATATTCTCTTTCATCCCTATCCCTTCCCCAGTGTGTACAACTCCCTACTATAAAAGACATATTTAAATATGGGGCTACCAATATAGTTGTCCCAGGTAATCTGTGCATTTTTATGTTTTCCCAAACATAAATTACTATTTTTCTTCCCATCCATAAACGTTTGAATAAGAAAACTTATGCAGTCCACATATGATTCAGTGGGAAAGAAACCAGTTGCTTATTGAAATTTGCATATGTAAATCACAATATTAGTAAACAGTGGGATATAGATACTTTCAACTTTTGATAACATTCAACAGCTTAAAATAATTAGAAAACAGAATGCAAGGTTTGCCTTGAGAACATTGTAAATGTAGCCCTGAATATTTACATCCTGTTTTGAACCTTTCTCCGTGGCTTTAGGCATCGCACTAATCTACAGAAAGGTTAATCTGAGTACTTGAGGGCTTGTAGAATGTTATATAGAAAGTGACAGATAAAGCATCAATTGGAATCAGTGTTTCTAGTTATTCAGATGGTGACCAACCACTGAACATTTTGTTTCTCCTTGATTTTAATGAGACAGTTTTGCAGGCTGTGCCATTTACTGAGACACTTTTGCATTTCCACATTAAATATACTTGCAGATTTACTGAAATAATGGGGAAGAAAAATACAGCATTTTTAATATAGACAAGACCCAAAGTGCTAATTTCTAATCTTATTGAAATATTTATATTTCTATGCATCAAACAATCAATTAGGTTTAGGATATTCACTAATTTAAACTTTTAAAAAATTATTTTCTGGGCATGAGTAAAAATTCAGAAAATAACCATCTATTTTTATATGGTAATATTTCCATTTATGACTTAAAAAAATCTGTATTTTTAAAATAATTCATGGAAAAATATATACTCTCCATTTAGTCTTTGCCATGTAGCTTTTGAAATTTGTTATACTCTTGATAAATTTAGTGTATTAGTGAAAGCAGTGTTTGTAATTGATTTGTAAATGCATTTATATTTACAAATTATATTTGTAAAAGTCTCAAGATCATAGAACAGGAAATTGCATGTATCATATATACAGATATCTATAACAATATAGTATAATAATATAATATAATATAATATAATATAATATAATATAATATAATATAATGTAATGTAATATAATATAATATAATGTAATATAATGTAATATAATGTAATGTAATGTAATGTGATGTAATATAACATAATATAATATAATATAATATAATAATATACACACTGTGATATCTGTCTGTCTGTCTGTCTATCTATCTATCTATCTATCTATCTCTCCACTTGGATTCTTGAATGCTAATGAGCTACATACACCCTTATCTCAAATCCTTAAAACTTGAAAGTGATTACACTAAATAGTGAGGTATCATTGCAGAGAAAGTCAGAGTTCAATTTCTTACCTGCTTTTTTAATTTCAGGGACAGATGTCTTCTCATGAGCTTTCTCCTTTTTTCCGGTTTTTTCTAAGATTTAATTAAAGAGAGTAATTTGATGTGCTAGAACTCTGAATCATACACTCAAACATGCAGTCAACCAAGTCCTGGTGGGCACATACTGAAAAAAATATGACTTATTTGGGAGTTCAGATTATTCCCTTATAGCACTTGCACCCAACTAGCCACAGAGCAATCACCTGAGAATGAAAATTAATCAGTATGCATCAACTATGGATGATTTGAACCCTTAATAATTCATCAAAAGTTAGGCAAAAAATCATCAGTGCATGAATGTGGCAGCTTCTAGCTTAAGTTCCAGTAGCAATGAGATTATTAAAAAATAATGAATGACTTAAATGTTTTGCATGAAGCAACACCTTAGTGGACTTTAGATTCTTTCTGAGAATGTATGATTGGAACATTATTTAGATGGATATCATGACTATGCAGTTTGGTCACTGTAAGTCTCAATTGTGATTGTATAAAATAAACAGATCTACTCCACCTTCAGAAACTGATGTGCAATCAATTGAGTGATATTTTCCCTGAATTTTGTATATTGCAGTATAACTATGTCCTGTTAAATATGGACTCCATTAAATTGTTTAAAAAGCCCATTGATGGCCACCAAACAGGGCATTTCATTTGTTAGAAAATAAGTTTAGGTAATATTGGATGCTGAACATATTGGACACATAAGACATTAGATACAGAAGAAGTGGAAACATGCAAATAGTGACTCAGCAACTAAGAGAAGTACAATGCAGCCAGTAGCATAGCATTAACCTAACAGAAAACAAGGGGAAATGAGCCAGAACTGTGAGTAAAAGCTGAATGAGGCCAGTAAGAAATGTTTCCAAACCATACCTTTCACCTTAGTTTCAGTCATAGTCTTCTTTTCATCACTCTTTTTCTTCTCCTCTTTTCTCTCTAAAAATAGAAATTGAAGTTCAGCTGGATACTTTTACACAGAAACACACAAACGACCATGTATATATGCATGTATGCATGTATGTATAAATGTATTTGGGATGGGGCATCCACTAACTGCAATATGTTCAAGATTTGACAAGTTGGTCACTTATTGTCAGCAGCTCAGAAATACAGCTTAATACCCAGAGAGTGAATGTGGTGCTAAGGATAAAACTGGAACAAATATGCACACCAGATTATTACTTAAACATTAATTCAAGAAACTATGTCCATTAACCTGGTGTAACTAAGAGTTTTTTGTGGTGACTCAAGAGCCATTCACTTGCTGTGTTTCTTTTGTAAGACCTGACTGAATGGCAGCAAAACTTGCACATGGTACTTGGGAACAAGTGTAGAATGCCATGAAAAGCCTGCACGTACAATATACCTTTATTATACTTTTTACTAATTGAATCTTTGAAACTGTCATTACAGGACTTCTCTTATTCATGGAGAATTGTTGTTAAAGCACCATCTACAAAACAACATGACATTATTTCAGAAGAATCTGCCTCGATTTTGGAAGTTATTAGGGCAATTATAGAAATAAGGAGAATATTTTTTAAAAAAAAAAAACAAGCTTAAACAATTTAATTACTTATTTCATGAATGTTTTGAATTGTAAAGTTGAGAGTTTGGTAAAGGATATGAGAAAGTTATAATTCTTATTTTTCCTTTGGGAAATGAATCCCCTTTTTGATGGGAAAGAATTTAAGAGTATAAGAATAGCTAATCTCAGTGCTTTTTTAATTGTTCATCCATGAAAAGACAAATTTGTTACCTTCAGTTTGTGCTGCATGCTTCAGGTATTGATACCCAAATATAGTTAGTGAAACTATATTTTTCTTTTTGTGATCTTTTACTATTACAAATGTGGATAAGAAACCAAGATTTATTATCTTACAAAAGATAGAACCATAAGACTTTAAACAAGAGACTTTTCTTTAATTGAAGCTATTTAAGGAATAGGAATATTTTCAAATCCAAGAAACAAATATACTCCTGTCCCTTGCACAAAACTAATATGAAGATAAAGGAAAAAAAGCAAACCAAAACAAAACAAAAAGCAACTTACTTTTCACTTCTCTAGGTACCACAACAGACTTTTCTTCTGCATGGAAAAAATATAGACACACAGGAGAAAAAATTAAAAATTGTAGAACATTTTACCTAAACTAAAAGATATCTGTGTGTTTGAATTTTGAAAAATTGAAAAATTGCTGTGTTTATAGAGTACCTGAATTCCACACTGTTTTTGTGATGATTTCATGAATAAACTTATTTTGCCTATTGTGGAGGCAATGCATTTTTCAATATTCAGGATCTCCTCAAATGATACTTCTGCTGATTTTCTGACAATTGCTTTTAATATCAAGCATAAAATAGATGTTTGCCACTTCTTTCTTGTTTTAAACAGATTTTTTCAATGCCTTTCTCTCGTTTTTGTCTTCAGAAAATTCTCCCATACATTCTACAGAATGTTTCTCTAAGTTTTATGTGCTTAATTCTTCCTCCTGAAATTCTGAGCACTACACTACACTTGAAGCTACAAATTCCTCTGTGTTCTGAGGTTTCTTAGGTATGTGTAGAGCATCAGAGTAGTGATCATCTTACACTAACTTATTTTGAACTTCATAGTCTTGTATACTTTAATATTCTTGTTATTGTCTCTCTCTCTCTCCCTGACACATTTCTCCAGAGACTTGTGCTAGGGATTGTGCCTCTCTGGTTGAAAGGGAGGTCTTTTCACCTTCAGATTTCACAAAAGTTCTTCCACAGCTCCACTTTCCTGTGCCACCTATGACTCTTCAGTGGATTATTTCCATATGTAATGTGGATCTCCTCTAATTTCTAAAATGTGGTTTAATTACTTGCATAGTCTGCCTGAATTAATCAAACCGTTAAACATACTAAGTGTGTGTCATTTACTGGCAGAGAAGAGATTCCTTCTGTCTTCCTTCCATGAGGCTTTATCAATAGTAATTAGATGTTGAAGTGCTGCTTGGACTTCTGTAATGTCCATTTTTTTCTGAGTGCCTCAGTTCTGGCAAGTTAGATTGATTTTTTGGTATCTTAAATTTCTGGTGCTAGGTGAAGCATGAGAATAATTTGTAAGCCCAAGGTCCTTACAACAAGATTCTCTTTAATCCGAGACCATTTCTGCCTTTGAACTTGCAGCATTTTGCCTGCCTCTGGGGCCCAGAAAAAACCACATGAAATCTGCCTTAATTTGCACAGCAAGGTTCAGAGCCATATACATCTTGAAAACCACAAGCTGAGGCATTGAGCTTTGAGATGTGAAACTTTGTATAGAAGATATACAAGAAGTGGCAGGAATGTTTACTGCCAATAACCCAAGCCAAGATTATGACATCCATGGCTGCAGAATCTTCATTGCCAAATCATTCTACCAATTAAACCCACTGACATAATTTTCTTCCATCAAGCTCTCAAGTTGTATTATTCGGCGTCCAGGCAACTTTGAGATGTCCATATTTGTTATAAAGTTTCTGGGGGATGATTACATGGAAATATTAAAGGACTAGGCCCCCTATTTTGCTGCCTAATGCAAGATAAGCACTCTTGCTCAAGTCTGAGGAAAACAGTCACTGAGATTCCATTCACATCTCAGCTGCATCTAGCCCCACTGGTGCCCCTCACAGCTGCCACTTAGAGAAATTTCTGTAAATAAGAGACATGGTAAATGGACATTATGGAAAGAGCCATTTCTGACTTAAGGAAGTAATCCCATTTCTTGAATAAATATATTTCCTCCCAGTTTGAACAGCTCACATTTAGAATGTTGTATATTAAGTGTATATTTAACACCAGCAAAACTTGTAATTTCTGAAGCAGTAAATGTAGTGGGCTCTATGCAGATATGTACACAGCTAAATTAAGAGGAAGAGCAAATAATTAAATAGGAATTTAGGCTGGTCTTTTGTGCTGTAAAATATGAACCCCATCTGTTAATTGAAAGCACTTACTTTTTTAGCACAGAACAGTTACAGAACTACAAAGGGCCAACTGCATAAAAAGGGATCCTCATATGCACAAATTAGGGGTTACACAAGGAATCACAATGTGCTTTGGAGGATTTGGCATTGACCACAATATGAAATTCAAGTGCGATTAACAATTGAAAAAAATCTATTGTTATTGCTACTGTTCCTTATTTAACAGGATTTTTTCACCAGTAACATTAGTCCTGAGTCACACTTCATGGACAGAGTAAAACATACGAGTACAAAAAGACCTCACTTTCAAAAGCCTGCAATGCATTTACAAGAATGAAATAAGGATATATGCATCTGGAAGAGTACTAGACACAATGAGCCAGCAAGGCCAGCAATGGACTTTTCATTTAGTCAAGTTTTTTCTGTAGACTCTATGCAGAAGCTGAGCTTTATGTAGCATAAGAACAAGTGCAGTGAACATGAGTATTGTGAATTAAAGCAATGATGTACTACTGAATGAGACACTCAGGTAAAAAACTTATTCCTGGGTGAAAAATAAAAAGAAGCAGCATAGAATAATTTTCTTGTAAAGTGACTGGATTGAACAGAACAGACCTTGCAGCAAAGTAACCTCTGAGATGGAATTATTTATTTTTAATAAGGGATGAAGGACCAAGGCCAGTAGAAATCCAAGTAAGATTCAACAAAGACCAAGAAAGGGGTGTTTCAATCTGAATTTTCTCCACCCATCTTGACAGCACCTTGTGTTTGTGTTATTCTCATAGGAGAGCAGCTAATTCTTGGACAATGGTGGGAAGGGAGATAACACAAGCACGCTAAGAACGTGGCACTTGAAATCAGGCTTGGTAAGACCACTGTGCTACTCTGCCAGCGCTGAGTGGAATCTAAATTTAGAGATGCACATGAGTTACAAGACATAGTGTCACAGGAATGCTGCACAGGAGCTGGAAGAAGAAGGTGCTCTTAGAGTTTCTTTACCATACTGCTCCAGATGGTCCATGTTCTTATGGAAAGTCTCATTCTGGAAGGAGCTGTCACCTCATCCCAACGTGTCAGAGAAACTGAGGTAAGCAGGGAAGCAAAATATAGCCACAGATTCCTTCTGCTGGAGAGGCATGCATATAGCAAACACTAGTGGGACTGAATGCCAGAAGTTTGGAGATGTTGGGGTTCACATTAGCTTTCTAAAGTTCAGATCCTTATATGAGGCTTATCTGCATTTATCTAAAACCCTCTTGTGAGGAAACCTCAGGAGGAAAGCTCCTGTGAGAGACTTGGGATATTTATTGCCTGACTGTGAAATGCTACAACAGCTTTTCTTGCCTACAGATTCCAGTCCTGGCAGAGCTTATGATCAGCAGAGACACATGTATACTCACTGACATACAAAACAGAACAAAACAAACATTAATTCATCTTTTCCTGAGAAACCGTAATTCAGACTGAACACAGTGACTTCATTCAGGATAAGACTTCGTTTCATTTTTGTCCAAGCAGCTCTGTACACCTTAAGCTGTCATTGGCATAATTTTAAAGGACCATTCAACCAAAACACAAGCTGCCTTTTAATTTTTTTTCCTTATTAATTTTGAAGGGATTACAGTCCCTCTTTCTTTTACTTGGTGACTGAAATCCTTTCTCTGCTGGACTCAAAAAAAGTTTTGTTGTTGATTTCAGTGTGAGTTGGATACCCTTTTAAATATTAGAATAACTCATTACATTTCAGTTTTAGATGACATTTCTTTTCTTTTCCCTTGGCCTGTTGCTTAGGGTAGAGACTAACAATGACTGGTCAGTTGCACTTTTGGCTCTAAACAATTTAACACCCATTCACAAAATAGGATCCCCTAAGAGTTACAAAGCTTTTGGAGAAATGAATGAACAATGAAAGGAGGTATTTCTGCTTAGTTTATGAGGTCATGGAATCTCATACCTTTAAGAGTAAATCTAAATTTCAACCAAAAATTGACCTTAGCTGTC